ATGAAGTAATTACTGTAGTTTCGTCTCAAAATTGAAATTATTTATTACGACAGAACACAACGCATTAGTTATTATACCTGGAGTACATAATATTCTCTTTATCCCATTTGTTATACATACAGTGCTATTCATTTAGAAGTAGATTTCCTATGTTTACTTTTAAATGACAAAAATCCTTCTGAAAGACGCCTAATTTTATGGAACCGACATTACATGCGCATGCATTTTGCATTGTCGTTCTAGTTTATTAATAAAAATGACAGTAAATAATCTGCTTATAGGTTATGATGAAGAGATATTAAATTCGGCCGCTATTTCCCTCACGTATGTTATGGGATTGTTTTCCACAACAAATAAAATATTCAATTTCATATCCCCCGTTAAAATTAAGGATTGCTTACGGTGTCTTATGTGGATCGCATTTCAATAATCACTAATTTTAAAGTGATCAACACAGAAAATAAGTCTCTTACGCTCCTTTAACCTATTACCGGCACTATACCAATTGACAATATCAAGTTTTTCTTCCGTTGAATACATCGCACACGAATGATAATAAAAATACGGAAGCCAAAGCAATAATATTCCAATTAATTAATATGGCAGTAAAATGTTAATGTGTTTTAAGAAGTGATTTTAGTTGCATAAAATTAGGCGTCCTTCAGCAGAGTTTTTGTCATTTAAAACTAGACAGAGAAAATCCCTATGTCTACTTCTAAATGAACAGCACTGTTATGTATATGCCAATGATGAGGATTAAAAAATTGACATTATTATTTACACACCGGTTTTGTAAACTACTTCTTTAAATTAAGATGTAAGTAATACTACACGTACCTAATTATTTACCTAGTGCATATATTGGTTTATAATGGATATGGACGGTGTTTACTTGCTCTATACCAACACATGGCAATCGTAAATACAAATGAAGGTTAAACTGGTTAACAAACATAGCTCGTTGTTTAGTCATGTATAGTAACAAACATTATTTGTTTTTCTAATTTCCCGTTACCTTGCGATTGTATATACTGCGCCAATTATTATGTGCAACTGCGTTTAATTTAACATAAAACAGAATCATTACTTACTTATAGATTCACTTTTAAGTACATATTACAGAGTTATATGATTGTGTGTGCATTGTATTCACAAAATATTAAACACTATCCCTGTCGTTAAATCTACTCCGAAAACTGTAGAATATACCTACAAGTAAAAGCTGGAAACGAAGTAATACGTTCCATTATTTTATAGATCTAATTCTAAGTAAGTGATCCATTTGCTTTGTGTTTGTTTTATGTAGGTATATTTTATTATGGTAATATATGTATATGCGCTACTGCTTTGTCAGTTTTAGCCCAATTAGTACTTACAGCCTTATGTGATTAACATTAAACTACATGTAATTCTTAATATACCTACCTACTGGTCGGTTGCATCACTACACAATAAGTGGCAAATTTTAAAACAAAAGTTTTTCGTCGACCTCTCGATAACAATATAAATTACTCCTTAGTGACGAGTACAATGATGAAGCTTATTAATCGTTAGCAACCATTAATGGTTAGCAACCAACCATTATACGTTAGCAACCATTAATCGTTAGCAACCACTTATACATAACAACCATTTTATTAAAGGGAAATGACAATTATATAACAATTCACTTTCGGCAACAGCTGAGAACTTCCATCCACCTAACCATTTTAATCTCGGTTTTAATGTAGTGAGATCAGCAGCCAGTATGGTCGCCAAACGATCTCAGCAAAGCATATCCTGATGTAGGTATATGTAGCTCCTCGGATAAGGTATTGTTAAGGTATTCAGTTACTTTACCTTCAACATTGAGTACGTCGACCACAGGGATGAACATTTCCATATCTTTCACTGTTAATACACGTACTTTAGTACAGTTGCAAAAGAATTAATTACATTCTAATTTCACATACCTTTTCAAGGTAAAATGTCAACATGACATTTTCGGAAATATCTCCTTTCAAATTCATTGTATTCCATCAATTGCCGAACTGATTGAAACCGTTCCAATAAGTTTCTTTTGATTTGAGTGGATATAATGTTAAAATCGTCTCCGCAGCAGAGCAAGCAATACATAATCTTCCACAGCGATTACGAGGACTGACGATACAGCATAAAACAACACATTACTATAGCAACGACAATAGCTGTAATTTAGGTAGTGAAAAATCGTCGCTCATAATTTCGTTTGTAATTTCTTGTAGTTGAATTTAAAATTACCTACCCCAGTGAAGTCGACGAAAAAACGTTGTATGCAATTCATGTATAAATCGGCGATTATTGGTTCGTTCGAATTTAGTCCACTCGCTGCGCTCGTAGACTAAACATCTCACTCACCAATAAAACGCCTCATTTATACACTCATTGCATAAATAACTATTAGATACGACGTCTAAGTAGGTACTTGCTCGTATTTCACCCAACCGCAATAAAAGGTTCGTAAAATCTGTTTTTATATTCCTCTTTTAAAAGGCGTATCCGAAAGACGGAATTTGTTTCCACTCGGTTTGCGTTAACTTTGGTATTTGAAGTGTTCTCGATTCACGTTTCCAAAGGATAGGAACCTCTTGAACTTGGAAAAAAAAATAGTTAATTCACTATTCACTCTAAACGCGACATAAAATTTTAGGACAATGTCCCTGGCGGACCAAGATTTCTGGATAGACGGACGGACAATGAAAAAAAATACGGCGTCTGGAAATGGACTTGACTCCACATTAATATTCCTTATTAAGATGGTGGCGTTACTTTGCTTATGACCGTGCGTCTCCAATCAAAGCTCTTGGCCCACTTGTCAGTTCTGCCGTAAAAACGGCTAACCATATATTTTGTCTGCTGAGTGCAACAATGTGTTGTGTTATGTGTTCATGCCAACGCTCAATAAGGTGCGGTGCCAATAATTTGAGAAGCATGTTGGACTTATGAACCCAGTATTTATCTTCTACTTCGACAAATGAATGCGCTTTTTCATGAGAAAGATATGAAAAGTATAAGATGTAGAAGTTTATGATGGCGCGGGTCAGTTTATTAGCGATAAACGTGCGTATTTAGAACGCATGAGTTTTTACCCAGATACCAGAAACCTGCCAGCTTCGTTGGTTTCGTCTAGACGAGACCGAGGTACCGAAAGTATGCGGATCTGCAATTTGCTAAAAGAGGACAAGATTTACGTAGCGTCAATTTCAGAGTTGCTACTTCGCAATACAAATAGAGAAGTAAAAAAGATAAAGGGTATAGAGAGAGGCAGGCATCAGTTGCCATAACGTGTAGGTCGTCCGCTAACTTTTGGGTTACACAAAGTTCGATCGCGACGTTCAGTGGCGTAGCTAGGCCTTTTTAGGGAGGGCTGCACCCTCCCCCCCCCCAATTCTGTATCCAGCCCCCCTTTATATATTTCAAAGTTTTTATTATAAGCGTCTTTCGGTGCGCTTAATGTTTTTAATGGCAAGTTGCTGCAAGTGTAGCCATATCTCCTTCCCATCGGGTGCCCAGTTGTCGGACGAAAACACGTCGTGCCCGCGCATGACGTCACTCTAGTTACATCTGGCGCGTAAGCCCATAAAGATTCAATGGTGGGCCTCGTTTTCGAAGTATAATCTGCATCGTGGTGCAATTATATTTATCGTACGTACAGCAAGGGCCTATACATATGTGTAGTTGATAGTCCTGCATTGCAAACATTCGAGTTTCTGCTTCTATTAATAGCGAATACCTTTTATTTCCGCTTTTATAACACCGCGAGGATACCTAATAAACATTTAAACGATAATGTCTGGTTGCGCGAGTGCAAAATGTAATAATTATTCACGAAAAACGAAGGGTTAAGATGTTAAATACTTCGGAAGTGAAGATACGTATGCGAAAAAATTTGTAGACTAAACATAAAATTGGGGCATCCGTTATCATACGAGGAGACCACGAACTTATAAATTAAGATGGACTGCTGATCAACAGTTTCATAGAGATAGAAATGGCCCTAGTATGGGCGCGGCAGCATTATCAGTCCATCATAATTTATAAGTTCGTGCCCTTTACGTATTCTTATGTGCACACTACTCAATCTGAATGCAACTACTTCAATCCCGTGCTTCTTTCATGCCCTTGCTGTGATATTGTCATGCCCATGACATCGGTCCTTACATGTTACTATGTCGAGGTCGAGAATCCCCTTTAATGTTTTTTCGACAACTTCGGGAATTGCTTTTTTGTCATAGCAAAGGGGAAATACAATTTCCTCTATGGTGATAGTTAGCTCTAACAAGGATTCTCAGATTGCCTTATCCCACATTCTATCCATCAACAACTGCCACTTGCAGTGGCATTTCTGCCCTTCGTTTTCTCCTGTCTACGAAGAAGTTCCTAATTGTACAAATACTATGTTGCACCATAACCGAACACTCGAACCCAATTTTAAAAGCAACCGCAAAATATGTTGTTGTTCGTTTCGCTTGATCAATTGGCTTGAGGTTTCTGGGGGTTCACAAAACCCCACAGATCTTCCTTCACAAACAGGTCACCATAGGTCTGATTGTTAAGCGTTTCCATTCCGCGGCAATCCATCAAAATATTCAAGAACTTGCTGGACCAACAAACTATTGAATTAATTTTTAATTTAGTGTATACCACAAATTATGTAACAATACTGTCTTTTGCCCAAATGACCTCAATTAGTTTCTACACAAGCATCCAATTCCATTCAAAAGGGCGTAGCCGCGTAGAGCTTTAGGCTTGGAAATACAAAGGTTTTGGAGGTTTGCAAAGACAACCATTTTCTTTCTGAAATCTTATTGAAACCCAACTAAACCGCCATTTTGGACAACATAATCATTAAAAGCAAAATTACGTTCTTACTGCAATAATTGCATTGTGCACTGTACCGGTCTGTAAAAAATTTACCCATGACCCCATGAACTTTGCATTTGTTTGAAGAATCATAAAGGTAATACATTTATTTGTTGCAGTGCACGTCAATGAAGACAATTACAGAGTCGCTGAGAGTTCGGTAAAGGTCGCCACCTTATATGCCAACAGAAAGGAAGATTTAAAAATGAACGTTAAAGTTGAAACAGCTACTGGATACCGAACCGATTCCAATAAAACGCTGGAATCTCGTAGGTCACATTGTACTTTTTTTTCGCTAAGCTTGTCTTACATTTTCTTTAGTTTGCAAAACCTACGGCACGATGCTGGCTAACAAAGCGCCGCCGCATCTACTTTTGGATACCACCAGAACTGGATTCGCTTCGGAAACTGTCAAGAGTTTCGCACTAGCATTAGGGATTCCCACTATCAGTGGATCATTTGGCCAAGAAGGCGATTTAAGACAATGGAGAACGCTTACTCCGGAACAACAGCATTATCTAGTACAAATAATGCCTCCTGCGGACTTAATTCCAGAGTTAATTAGAACCATTGTACTGCAGCAGAACATATCTAATGCAGCAATTCTTTTCGATGACACCTTCGGTATGTATATATATGTTAAATCTTGTATACGGCATTTTCTAATTTAAAGTATTAAGCATAGGTACCTTTCGTTCTTCCGTTCAAGAGTCTGTCGCTCTGCAATTTTGGTAGTTTATATGCAAAAAATTTGTTTTAGTGATGGACCACAAGTACAAATCTCTGCTTCAGAACATTGCAACGCGCCACGTTGTAACTCCAGTAAACCCTGCCGACGTTAAAACTCAATTAATAAAATTAAGAGAGCTGGATATAATGAATTTCTTCATCCTTGGCGGTTTAGATACTGCTAAAATGATTTTGGACACGGCAGACAATTTGGATTATTTTTCAAGAAAATTTGCATGGCACATACTGACTCAGGAAAACGAAGATGTGAAATGCAACTGTCGGAACGCTACCATCGTTTACATAAAGCCGTTGCTCGTCGATCCATATCGAAATAGATTAAACACTCTGCGAACTTCTTACCAATTAGATGGTAAACCGCAAATATTGGCAGCGTTTTACTTTGACTTAGCTCTCCGTTCGTATATGGCCGTGAGGTACTCACTCAAGATATCGATTAAAGTAAAGTTGGTTTACTTCTTTAATTTGTAGATCCATGCTTGGTTTCAATCAGTGGCAACAGAATATGTCGTACATTACATGCGATGCTTACGATATGGTAAAGAAGAACACTCCACCGAGAAATCAAATACTACTCAAAAAGAGTTTTAGTGAGGTACTGTGTGCTTTTTGTTTTTATTACTTCTAGTCCTCAATCAAAATTTATCGCCGAGACAGAGTGTTTAATTCTAAACCATGCATTTTGAACTAATTTTTAGCACGTCGTTAATGATTTATAATTCAATATAATTTATAACCACCAAATTAGTAATTGATCAGTAATGATAATACCCTAATGATAATACTCACGTTACTTAAGGGATTTTCCTATTGGCAATAGTTTTGATTTTAATTTTTTACTGTAATGAATTTACCTATATTACAGTGGGTCGAGTATTAACTGCTAGCTACTCTTGCAACAGGCTTTTGCAATGAAAGGGGTTCCTTTCCAACATTTTGAATTTCTAAGCAAACTCGCGAAAAATATTTACTTGACCAACGGCTATAGCTCTATACAAAATTTTACTATGATTGATTTATTGAAGATTTCTCCTTTCCCATTTGCTGAAATTTGACTTTCACAGATAGGTACTTGATTTGTCTATGGGTTTGTTCGTAAAATCAAATACAAAATTACTACTCTGACTAACGAAATCTTGCTGATCGCCTCCTGATCGAGAAAGTCGCCTAACAATTGTAACCCAATAGCACTAAATCCAGAAGACGAAACATTGACATAAACCCCAGACTAGAGAGGCTTCCGAAACTCAGTACGAAACAATGTTCCATAGAAATTAAACGACGCAAAAAGTGCACCACATTTTCACGGCGGGTGACAAATTTATTTTTTGAATTTCCACCAAGAATATCATTTATTTGGAAAACCAATTCGCTAAACTTTGATACTCTGTGTTAAGTTCCTATGAGATACAACGCTCAAATTCTTAAATCTTAGAAGTCTGTAAACTTCACCACACGGAAATTTCGAAAAAATTTAAATGCAAATTTAGGGCTAGGTACCGTTACACTCTTCCCACACAACAGTCACTAATATCTTGCTAGTGATCCGAACCTAAAACCCACAATCAGTACTTAAGACAGTATCTGACGTTTGCTCAGACTCAAACATCGAATTTACTTAAACACTCCTTTCACTAGTACATCCGTGACCGTGCTAGTTCACTTTGATGTTATCATTCTTAGAATGTTACCGACCTTTCCCTTATTTAATTAAATTCTTAATACCCAAAAAATACTTGTTCATACAGCTCTCAAATATTATTTAGTGTCGTTTTATAATTGAGTGATGACAATACCAAAGTGCTATCTATATATATCTTATCTGTAATAATTAGATATACAACTTATATCACTTCAATATGTAAGTAGCATGTTGTATCTGTTGCACTTTAGGGAAATAAAACTTGCATAAAATAAAATTGAACCCCCAAGGGAAAAAATTTTAATATGACAATCAATTGTTTTTTATCTACGGCTAGCTTAGTAATACAAATGTTTTTTAAGCCCCTTACTTTACGGAAATTTTGACTTAAAATATTGATTTGGCTTATGAAAAACACCTACCTCGTGTCGCTGCTAAATTTGATCCTTACCTAAAATTCATCTTTACTACATAATGAATTTCTGGTACATTCTTATGTTTAAAATATACACACGTCTTACTAAACAAAATTTTAATCCAACCAAAGGAATTGTATCACTGAAGTTAAATGCAATTTTTCAACCAATGAAACAAATTAACCAAAATCCTTTGTTGGGATTGGATTCTTATTCATAAATGTAATACAAATCTATTCATGCAAATGGTTCTCATAGGTCGTATTATTTCAAACAAAATTACTGTTTGCATCACCCTGGTAACGTTATCTTCATGATGAATGCAAAGTTTGGTGGGAGAAAAGTTTGTAGTAATCACGAATTCAAACGAACCGGCTTCAATTTCACGAAGGTATAACTCGAAATCGTGACTATACGATGGAATAATATGGCAATGTTCCTCTGTGTTATTAATTTTATCCAAATTAACTCCTATAGGTTTCGTTGGGGGCAAATGCACCAATTAATTGTCTTTAAATTCACCGCCGTTTGACGTTGAATACCAAATTTTATTTATCGCACAAAGCGTTGCCCGTCGCTCAACTTTGAGAAACTTGCTTGTATTAATCAGCCGAGACTGTTAGCCGTCCGAAAAAACTTCGTTGATTTAAATCCGTTTCTATTTGAAGAGCGCATTTGCGACTGGAAACTGTTCCTTTGTGTAAGTTTTACCACTCGTAAATGAACGGCCTTGTTATGAATTAGGCTAAAACTACCGTTCCAACGCAAAACTAAGCTTGCAGGTAACTCGCGCTTGGCACCAATCTAGTTTCACTTCTTTAACTTCTTAACGAAACGAATGAAAAAATCGCAGCCACGTTCATGTTTAGAATTTTTCACTCAAAATGAAACTGGTAGCACTTTATCAGTATTTGATAAATTTTCACAAAACATGAATTTCAGCGCACATTTTTCTTTTTTATAGATAAAATAAGTTAAAACTTTGTAACTACAATAATTGATATATGTACAACGACGACAAAACTGACAACTAGTTCTTAACTAGTCCAAATTAACGATTTACGTAAAATAAAGTAAACAAAAACCGTTTGCCGGAATTTTGTCTCAAATCAGAACTGTACAATAGTTAAATTTACGCAAAAACCTAACTTGAACGACCTTCTGTTTTCGAAACTTAGGATTCCTCTTTCTTCGCGGTCCTTGAATATTGTACAACTTCGTTGGAGGGTTAGGCATGCATAAGGTAACATTAATTTAAATATTTTTTCAGAATCAGAGGTCGTTCAGTAGGCAGCTAATAATACTAACAACACCTCACAAATTTTGCCCTTTTAAAATCGTTAATGTACCTACTGACAAGTAAAAATATGTGATGTAACTAGAACAATAAACGGATTATTGATCGACAGATACTAGGTCAGTTGCATTAAACGTCCGTTTCAAAGTCAAGTACAGATAAAGGGTTTTTACTAAGTAAACTTTAAGTTCTAAAAGATAAACAAATAGGAACAGATCTACCAGAGAACAAAACTTATATTTTTGTCTGCACTAATCGAAGTAATTTTTTATTCAATGTCGAAATTTAAATATCTTGATGCACACAAGGTCATTCTAGCGTAGTTTTCAAGAAGAATACTGCTACTTTTGCGCGAATTCCGTCCATTTGGTCGTCGGTTTGAGTGCTTGAGATCTCAGCACTCAGATTTTAGTACATTTTTTATTTCCAGAAAGGAGCTCATAGTTTCACAGATTTCAGTATCTGCTGTTCACGCGCGTTTTATATATAAATCGAGATCCTGGCAACGGAATATCGTAACACTTTCGGGTAATGGGTTTTCGGCATTTTATTCGTACTATCGTGTTATTCCAGCATCGCTTAGCCCAAGAACTTATAAATTAAGATGAACTGCTGATCAAACAGGGTTATTCCTGCCCCGCTTAGTTTGAAAACTGAAGGTCATTGCTCTGTTACGATGTGTTAGGTACGCCGAAGAAATTTTAAATGCAGATACTTTTAATGATAATGAGTCAGGTACAATATTAATTACAGTTCATGGTGCAAAAATATAGGTACTACTACTATAATTAACATACAACAATAATTTTAGGAACTTTATAACTGTTCCTGTACAATAAAATCGGCAATCTTTACTTTAATCTGTCGAAGATTTGAAAGTCCTATTGTGGCGTACCGAACGTGGGCTTTACGTTTACCTTTTGGTAACTTACTCTTGCATCACACGGAGATATTTTTGACCGCTCGCTATGTTGGCGTATAACATCCAAAAAGAGGGAATAGTTATTTATGGTATAAGTGTGTTATATTACAAATAAGTCACGCGAGAAAAAAGTAAGCCCACGAGGCCGTCAGGCCGAGTGGGGTTATTTTCTCAAGTGACTTATTTGTAATTAACACACGTGCACCATACAAAACTTTATCCAACACCTCCTCAAGCTGGTTTAAAACGTGGAAATCTTAAAAACTGCGTGTTCCACGAAAAGCTAGAGTGCATGGAATACAAAAGCAATAATTCGTTGCTATGGGGAATAATAAACAACAAAAAATTTTGTCAGAAAATTTATATGGATTTACTTATGGTTCCTGTACTTTATCTTGCTAGTGAGTTATTTTACGTCCATAACTCATTAGTGGGTTATATTATACCTTACTCGTTTAATTTCGTCATGATAATGACTGGATAACATAGAGGTGTTGGATAAAATAACAAAAATAATTTGTCGATCAAATACACTTAAAACGGCGATGTAAAACAAAGGGGAAGTGTACGAATTGCTAGTTAAATTATGAATCAATATCGTGGTCGATCCAATCGTAAGAAAGCGACCGTAAGTTTGTCACAGTTTGTCGCACTTGCCCTAGTCAAGTCTTATGGTGTTCACAAAAATCACGATCGCGCGCGTTTTCTTCAAAACGATATAAGGCTTAGAATAATGCTTAGCATCAACAATTCCTATCCCATTTAGAGCAATGGGAGATCACTATCCCATAAAAAAATTTAGTACAGCTCCTAATGTGTTCGAATTTTAACAAAAATCAATAATATTAAAAACACACTAAGATACTATATTTATTTATTTATTTATTTATTTATGTTCATGTTAGAGTGCAAAGCACTTACAATTGTCAAAGAAAGTTTACATGTAAAAGTGTATATAACATAACAAGTCCAAAATAGAACAAACAAACAATAATACATTAACACTAACACTGTACGCAATAACACAGAAATACATACGAGACAAGCAATTTTAGTAATGAAGTTGATTGTAATTGAATTTCGAAATTTAGTATTAAACACGTTTATTTTGAAACTGAGTCAAATAAATGTACAAAATGCATGACTATACCTATGCATAAGATAAGGTAAGATATTTATTCGAGGAGTAGAAATAAATACATGCAATACAATACAATCTTATGGAAATATAACTATTGCTCACGTCTAAAAAAACCAAACACCTAGTTACAAAGTAAGGACAAAAAATGAAACAATTTAACACAAACTCACTGTGTAGGTATGTGGGCGTAAGTGGTGATAGCGCTCCTTTACCTTGTAGGGGGTAATACGTATTAGTAAATTTTGGTTTTCTTAAAGTCCAGGAAATTGAGATTTTTTATTTCGTAAGGCAAAGAATTAAATAATTTGCTACCCGAATAGTAGGTACACGCCTCGCTCATAAAAAGTCAAATTGTAAAATAATTCTCTATTGAAATTTGTACTTGTGACAACCTACACTTTCCACCACTTTTAAGGCATAGTTGTTATATATCATCGGTTTGCAGGTCACGGGAGAAGAGTTGGCATATGGTCCCTTCCGCATGGTGTCCAATGGAAAGAGTTATATGCAATTTGACATGGAACTTACGGCCGTTGGGGTTAGAGACGGATCGCCTGATAAGTCGGTGAAGCTGGGAAAGTGGAAAGCAAGTTTGGACCCCAACTCTGCTATTGAGTATGCAGATTCCCAAAGTTTGCAGAATTATCGCGCCGATGTTATATACAGAGTGTACACCGTTGTTGTAAGTCACGCGTCTTAATTGTTGTGTTGTTACACTTACATCTTGTTTCAAATTTTAATAACTTATTAATAAGTGTGCATAAAATTAAGTAAGAAGAAGTTTGAAGATATTTTACTTACTTTTACTTACAGTCAACGTTTTATTAACCAAATTTTCATTCCATTGGCTAATATGGTACGGAAACTAGTGGACCTATCTTAGATATTGGAATTATCAATAGTATGGCTAGGTCAACTGAGTTTCATGCTTTGATTTTATGTATATGCATTTATACTTGTATTTAAACCGATTATTCACGTGAACTGGTTTCTTGATTAAATGATTGTCTATTAACTATTACGACTTATTAGTATTTTAATAATGTAAGCGTATAATAGGTACTTTTATCTACAATATAGATTTTGGCAAACTTTAAGCTAAGCGGTAAGATGCAAGAAACAGAAGGTTGTTGTTTACAATTAATTCTCTGCGTTTGGTACAAACTCGCACGAGTCTCACACCTTTCCCCGGTTTCGATTGCTCGTTCTAAAGGCCACTCTATAGGTACGTTGACTAAAGTCATTCCGAATCAATTTCTCCGGTTGTTACAATCGGGTCATCTATTTCTCTTTTGTTGATATCTTTATTTGGATACCACTTCTATCCGAGCACTGACACGCCCTCTGTTTGGTTGTTCGAATTTTCCAAAAAAACTACCACTCTCTGAGCTCAAAGCGCACTTCGTCATCGCCCATCGATTCTCTAATAAATCGATCAAGATTTCGTGGTTTGGGACACTGGCTACGCAGTTGTCATCGTAAAACTCGTTACAAGCTTCTCTGAGATCTCCCTGGTGTATTCGCAACCTGGTATAGAACAGTTTTCTAAACACCTTGCCAAATGATAGCCTAGTCCAAAACTTTAAAAGTGTGTATGTTTTCCATTAAAAATTGTGATATCATAACAGCGTGATACTGATACTTTAGATTCTGTTTCGTCAAAAAGACAGTTTCTACCCTTTTTAGTTTTAAATTAAGATAAGACACGGTCGACTTTAAAATGTAACTGCGCTGTGATCCAGTTTCGGTCAGTATCACCCCTTACATTTAAGCGCAAAATGTGAAGGAAAACATTCGTACTTCTTTGATTCATCATAGTGCTGTCTCGATTTACTCCTCCAGACAACTCTTTGATGTCCATACTTGACACATGAGTGGTGCATGCGCCTTTCCGATACACTTAATTGTTATACGACATTTCCTGGGCTGATGCCCAATTTTGAAACATTTAAACCAAGCTCTTTTCTTAACCAAAACGATTTTTCTCTGGTCCAGTGTCATTTTTGCGCTTGTAAACATTGTTTGCTATCATCACATCATCATTATCATCAACAAAAAATACATTTAACATCAGTATTTATTAAATCTGTGGCAGTCATTGGTTAATAAAATCGAATTTGATATAACGTTTATTTTATATGTGTATATTATTTTTTTTATTATACCTGAATCACAATCTCCGTTTTAAACACTCAAATGCGTGCGAAAAAAGGCCTTTTCGTACTTCCGAGACTAAAGTGGCCACTTCACTCCATTATGACAAGTACTGAAGTGTCACTTTTTGTCCCGCCGGGATTAAATTTTGACGAAAATCCCGGAAGGATGAAATTACTAACAAGGCAATTTCAGTAGGTTGTTCCATATTTTGTATGCGGTACTACTTCTTAAACGCATCATACTGCTGCTCATATAGTTTTTTGGATTTCGGTGGTATCAATTCTTTACCTAATTTGGCTGCTTTTTATGAATATCAAATACACTTTTGTCACCCACCACCAAAATTATGACACTAGCAATGACAGTTTCCAAATTATTTTTGTTACCACAGCATAGGAATTGTCGTACCAACGCTTCGTTCCTATGGTAACTTGTTAAGTAGCGATTTTTTGAAAGAACGCGTTCTCTAACTCCATACATATTAAGTGTTTCAGTTTCGGAAGTACGAAAAATATCGTATATACCTTGCGACTGAAGTAGTAGTCTTAATCCCTCAGGTAAATTATGGCCCTCCCTTCGGTCGGGCCATAAACTTTACCTTCGGGATTAAAAGTACTACTTCAGTCCCGCGGTATATAATATACTATTAAAACACACGTGCTTTAAAGTTGCTAAGTAACGATACTTCAAGTATGACTTTTGAAACTGTCAGCTGGGTGAAATAGAAAATCCTCTTAGGTCGCTTTCTGTAAATGCAGAACATTTCTTTGGCTTGTACCTATCCTTTGATTGAAGGTTTCACAAACGTGCGTAATTTAGGGTATGCTTCCAAATCTGTTCCACTTTTAATCGCAGCATTGTTTGAAGTTTTGAGTTAATGCACCAAAAGATAGGAGATTTAAATACCTTTAGCATTTCCTTCATATATCCCAGCATTATCGATGCATTTAAGACTTTATTCGTAAGTAACTTCCTTTTCATCCATGGAAACAACTTTTCATATTCTTTATAATAGGCTTTACTGGAGTTGGATTTTACACCTACCAACGTTTGTTTAGATTTTACAACAATCAATTTAAAGGGCGGTGAATTATCTTTTTCAACGGAAATCGTTTAATTCACAAAGACGATGATTTTTATAAGCAAACGTCAAGTGACATTTCCATGGCAATCGTGAAATTACGAACACCCAGCCCACTTAATTAGACATGTATTCGAGTATAACGTCAATATGACTTCATTGTATTTCCTATTTTTAAATTATATACTGCAGGTATAATAAAAAATACTATAAGATACACGTGTATAATTAGTCTTTAAAGCACTTGCAACGTTAAAGGCACTCAGCTTTGCGTCGGGCCCTTAAACTCGTTGCGCGTGCTTTAAAGACTTGATTATACACTTGTATCTTAATATACTATTATATGACTGTGGCAGTCATCTTTGAATTTTGTGTCCGTTTGAATCGCTGCCTGTTTTTGTCTTTGTTTAGGTATTTTTAAAATAGAACAACTCAGAACAAAAAAGTGAAGAAAAATGGCTATATGTACACAAAACTCAATAGTTCACACAGAAAAAAAACTAAACAAACTATATCTAAATGCCCAAACGGCAAACGTCACAAAAAAAAGAGATATTTTTTTCGTGCTCATCCACTTAACCCAGAAAATAGACTTAAATTAACAATAAAGTAAAAGATTGTCAGAGTTGCAGAATACAGTCTCTAAACTGTGGATCTAAAAAATAGAAAAAACACAGAGGTAAAGAAATGAAAAATGATATAAACAACGGAAAATGAATAATTTATCTAAACACCTAAAGAGTTTTATACACTACTTTTATAAATTGAAAAAGATTTAAATATTTAATATTCGACGGAAATCTTCGCAAAGTTATATGAAAAAGAAGATTTAAACATTTGCAATTTATGTTCAGAAATTGAAATTAAATCATTCCGTCGAATTACGTTTGTTCGAAGAGTAATTTTGTGGTAAAGATAGGAAGGTGTTTAACACATCATTATTTTCTGGTACAAAACAGCTGAATAGAGGAGTCGACTTATGAGGTGCTCTGAGCTTATGAGAAATTAGAAGTAAGAAGGCAAAATAGGATATTTCTAACTAGAGCCATCCATATTTATTTTTCTATAATTCCCTCTCGTGTGTAGGCAATTCAGTGTTACAAATTTATTAGAGAGCGCCACAACGGTCGTTCCGGGTCATCGTCATATTCTGAATTCTCATCTTCAAGGATTCTTTATGCATGAGCTCCCACAGATACAATATATTGAAAGAGCATGCCATATGACATTCACAAATCCAAGATCACACTCCTTGACATACCAGCAGAATATTGCTGAAGCAATAGCAGCTGGGATAGATTATAAAGAGTTTAAGTCTACATTTACTCCTTTCGCCCATCCCCAATTGGTCGGTTAGAGTATGTTGTCTAGCCTAGGTTGAACCTACGAAGACACTCTGTATGAATCTTGCAGTGCAAAGGCGTTAGTTGCTGGTAGAGAGGAGGGGGTTTTCTTCATTCTTATAGGGAATTTTAGGAATTCCCTGTTTGTTACTTGTACTTTTTGGTCTACTCTTCCGCTTAGTTTTGACAGCCTTATTGTCATGTGAATGAATCAACAGTATTTCATTTGGAAAGTGACATTTTCGGAAACAGATTTTTTCTAAGTTTTTTTGATAGTAGACCTCCATATAACTATTGCCAGTTCTGATTCATACGGAACAGACGATAATTCTGTAGTTGATAGTCCACATAACTGTAAAAACGAATTTTTCTGCAGAAATTCTCGGCGATGACCATCTCGGCACGGATTTCCCGACGGCAAGCAATTTCGGCGACCATTTACTTCCCGGATTCGGTTATCGCGGCGCTCTAAACTCGGCGATGGGCAATCCCGACAACAATGTACATCCCGGCTTCAGTCGTCCCGGCAATTTGAACTCGGGGAATCAGGGGGATGGAAAACATTTAAGACGTAGTAAACATATGAAACAAAGGTTATGTAGATAGAAAAACACGAATTTTTTCTCAAGAAAAATCACAGCCTATAAAATAACAAATAAGAAAACTTAATTCCGGTAAATTGTTTCAATATAATAAACACGACTTTGTTTCATATTTTTGATGATGTATTGCTCTATTGTAATTATTTGTAGAATAGGTTATGTAGATAGAAAAATACGAATTTTTTCTCAAATAATTTACATTAAACTTTTTACTCTAGGTTATCGATTTCGAAACAATCTTTCATCTTCAGACCTAGACTGAAATAAAATTGATAACCTATAGTAAAAAATTTAATGTAATCTACATAACCTATTCTACAAATAATTACAATGGAACAATAGATCATCAAAAATATGAATCAAAGTCGTGTTTATTATATTGAAACAATTTACCGGAATTAAGTTTTCTTATTTGTTATTTTATAGACTGTGATTTTTTTCTTTATAGAAGCTGAATAGAGACTATATTATCAAATTGAAATTATGCCATTTATAGGCAGGTAAAGTTTTTTGGTATATACATATCTACGTAGCTAAATGGGTAAAACACAATTTGCTAAAAATCGCCGGGATGACATATTCCGAGAGAGTAATGATTTTTTAATATCATTAGGATAAATAATATTGTATTATCAACACCATGAAACATCATTGTGATATTACACAGTGATTATTCGCGAAAATCTACTCTATAGCAAGTTGCTAGGATATCATCTACCTACATATCAGCCATTTTACAATAGAGCAGATTTTGGCGAATAATATATTGTCATAACCAGACACAATATTGTCTGTTCGGTCGACCAGGTTTTTTAAGTATAACTCTCGAAGGAATCATCGTAGAATGCTCGGGTTTGAAGCATTAGTTTTCGCTGTGTGTCACATAATTCTTTGCATGCCTTCCAGGAGCAGCCCTTGATTCGCCGTAAATTCGGGTTCGTTGCCATGGATTTTCTGCTCATACTATAAGTCAGTGACACACATGAAATTATTACCTACCATAATATAGTAACAAATCAGATCTGAAGAAGTTTCGAATCACTTAGAATTAGATCCGAACACATGGATTTCACTTGTGGATAATGGTCTTCACGGCATTGATTCGTAAGGATTTGTATTTAAATCATTATATGCTCAGGATTCGAACCATGAAAAAGCATTCAAATCTCTATAAAAGAATCCGAATCCTTTTGGTGGATTTTTGGAAATCAAAGTGCAGCCATTGAATAAGTAATCATTACGTCTTATTCAATGGTGTAACTCAATCTTGAATTAATTTGATGAAAACTGACTCAGGTGTTTGTGTGGATTTTTATGTAAGTGCGTCTTTCTGATTTTAGCGAGTGATTCGTGATTATGCATGCACAATCATGTCGCCGGCGGCGAATTGACCGACGGCGAGATGGCCGTGGCCAAAACCAAATAGTGCCATTTCCAAATTTAAACTGATCTAGTTTTCGTACTTACAAATTTTTGTTTTTGCTTTTACTACCAATTTTCTTATCGTAGTCTATGATCATTTTCTCTCAAACCAGATAAATAGGTAGTGTGATATTGGTATCCCCATTGCTCTTGTAAAAAAATGCAATTAAAATCTTAACGACAGCTTCAGTACTTTAAGTACCTATCCCGTTTTCCAATTTTGGATTGAGCATATCACCACAGATAAAATTTTTATATTTTATCTGTGATATCACCAACAGTTTACAATAACTTTTCAGTGAGGTAAGTCGCATTCAAATTTGAACTTAGCAAAAATTGTTCCTTATCAAAGCTGCCAAATTACTATGATTATAAACAAATCGAAGTAGATTTCCTGATAGTATTTAACCCTAAATAAATACTTAAACATAGTACCTACCATTCAATTTCGGCTGACTCACCTAAGATTCACAGCAATAACAAACTGTTATTATGATGGTTGACAGTAGAACCATTTTGCTTACAAATAAAAAATGTTTTCAGTTCTCAGCGCTATATACAAGGTGCCACAATTCAAATTATCTGGCAAAAAGAACCAAAACAAGCATTTGTTCGAAATAAACTGAAGACCCACAATGTATCTATCCTTTGGGAGCTATATGCATCCAAAAGTCTCAAAATGACAGTTTCTTCTATAATTTTTTTATCAACTACAACAAGAGAAAAATCTTCCTAAAATGTCTACCTAAACCGCGTACCAAAATAATTCTGATCTCGATCACATTTAATACCGTGGGGGTTTTTTTCAACATGAAAATAACAAGCTCAAAATGTTTTAAAAAACTGCAATTCTTGATCGCTCCACCAAAATGGTCAGATTTTATTGATGATTAATACCACTCCATTAATATACGACCAATCAGGTTGGTGATTGTTTCAAATTCTAACCAATCAGATGATTTTTTATCTGATTAAAAGCTAGGTAGCTTTTTATCAGCGATTAAACGCTATGTAGCTTTTTATCAGGGATAAAAATGCGCGTAGGAATGCGTAAAATATATAGTGGTTGTAAAATTTACTGTGTTTTATTAATCTCCCTAAAATACACTCGATCTGGGTTTTAAATCAGGATAATTTTACTTTTAATTCACTCAAATTTTGTTGCTTCCTAAAGCTGTCGCGATTTTATCACACTTTTCATCTCTAGTTTTTTCCGTTGCAACAAAACTTTCGTGTAAAAATAAAATTATCCGATTAAAAATCAAGCTCTTGTGTATTAACCTCCGAAAAAAGGAAATATCCAAACATGTTGGAGCTTTGAAGTGTAGCTCCCAAACGAAACATTTTGGTCTTCCAATCTATTTGCAAAGAAAAGCTCCCCGAAACCTCTTAAATGTACGATATCTAACAAAAATTGGCTCAATTCAATTCAGTATTTTGTAACATACGCGCGTTGTGACTGACATTTACTTTACCTGTTTTCAGCAACCACCTTTCATATACCAAAACAGCTCATTTCCAAGAGGCTTTAATGGATACTGCATCGATTTAATGGACCACATTGCGAAATTTTTACAATTCGACTACGAAATTAGAGTGCAAACGGAAGGTGGATTCGGGCAAATGGATGACAATGGAAATTGGAATGGCATCGTCAAAGAGCTCATAGATAAAAGGGCGGACATTGCCCTTGGAGCAATGGCGGTTATGGCTGAAAGGGAAAGTGTTATCGATTTTACCGTTCCGTATTACGATTTGGTCGGAATTACCATTCTGATGAAACTGCCAAAACCTTCGACGTCGCTCTTCAAATTTTTAACGGTACTGGAGCATGAAGTATGGATTTGTATTCTATCAGCGTATTTTTTAACCAGGTAAGCTAAATGTATTAGACAACAATTACATTGATACTCATTAATTAAGCTTGTTGCTGTGGATATTTGATCGATGGAGCCCCTACAGCTTCCAAAATAATCGCGAAAAGTATAGAGACGATGAGGAAAAACGAGAGTTCCATATCAAAGAGTGCCTATGGTTCTGCATGACATCATTAACTCCTCAAGGGGGTGGCGAAGCCCCGAAGAATTTATCTGGACGCTTGGTTGCTGCAACGTGGTGGTTGTTCGGTTTTATTATTATCGCTTCTTATACCGCTAACTTGGCCGCTTTTCTCACGGTTTCTCGATTGGATGTACCCGTTGAATCTCTGGATGATTTATCAAAGCAGTACAAAATACAATATTCGCCTCTTAACAATTCGGAGGCGGCAACTTACTTCAAACGTATGGCCAATATTGAAAAACGATTTTACGAGTAAGCTTTTGTTTGTAAAATGTAAATATTGTACCATACATAAAGTTTAAATATTTCAGAATATGGAAGGATATGAGTTTAAACGACAGCCTCTCAGATCTGGAACGTGCACAATTAGCAGTGTGGGATTATCCAGTTAGTGACCGCTATACGAAAATGTGGCAGACCATGCGAGATTCAGGTTTGCTGAATACATTGGAAGAAGCTGTCGCAAAAGTGAGAACGTCTAGAACGCAAAATGAAGGCTACGCATTCATTGGTGATGCTAGCGACATCAAGTACTTGGAGCTCACTACATGTGACTTGCAAAAGGTAGGGGAGGAATTTTCGAGGAAACCTTATGCCTTAGCCGTGCAACAGGGCTCTCCATTAAAGGATCAACTTAATTCGGCGTAAGTATACCACTTCATTTCTAAAGCTCAGCTAAAATGGAGTTTGTTTGGTTTGGTGGAGTTTGATGGATCATTTTATTACAGTGCAGCAAGTTTGAATTTGCAATTTAAAGTGGTACGTAGCCGTAGATAATGAATTTGATCATATTGACTGATCTTCCTGTATCTACGAGTATGTCGGTTATTTTTTAGATCATTTTACGCAACTTTTAAAGAAAAATTTTTACGTTAGAGTATTTTTTCGACATAAAGGCTCACCAAATTTTGGATAGGTAGGTATATTAGGTATTAAGCAGAAAAGAAAAATAAAAGGTCGGATTATTGAAAAAAAATTTAGAGCGCCGCAACGGCATCGTATGAAAGACTTTCTTTTTCTGTCCTTCAAAAATTATGCTTATTATGATGACGCTGTTCGACCTGATCTGTGTCTCATTTTATAATCCACCCGTTAAAATTCCAAATTCAAATTTCAAATTTCCTGCCTGAAAATATGGAACTTGCTCTTTGTACCGTTTCAAAATTTCAGAGATAATATGAGAATTAACACTGCTTATCATTTCAGAATTTTGAATTTGTTAAATATGCGTCAATTGGAGCGGTTTAAGGAGTTCTGGTGGCACGAGAATCCCTTTCGCGTAAAATGTGAGAAGCAAGAGGACCAATCCGATGGTATTAGTATTCAAAATATTGGCGGGGTCTTCATTGTCATCTTTGTGGGAATATGCTTAGCTTGCGGTACTCTCGGCTTCGAATATTGGTATTATAAACATCGTAAGGTAGGAAATGTTATTGATATAACGGCCGGAAGCAAAGATGCGTACGATATGAACGGAGAAAACATTAACAAAGAGCCGGTGAAGATGCCTCAAAAAGATTTGTCTGATTCTGATGCTCAACGGTTCAAAACGCTGTCGGTGTATCCAAGAGCAAGATTTTAGATTTCATCGATTTCGTCGAAATCTAAGTGTGCTTTGATTGTTATTTATTGAACAATTTATTTCAAGTTGACTTGTATAAGCGCGTGGGCTTTTCAGATACGCTACACTTTATGACTCTGGAATTTGTTACAGTGAATTTCAAAACGATGTTAATTCATGTCTTCCGTCATAACACACATTTTTTTAATCAAAATTTTAAAGATGTGGTGGGGATTACCTTTTAAAGAAATTATCTTAAAAATTTAACCGTTTTACGATATGCTGGCTACGGTTTTTTTTATGATGGGTTGCGTCTCATAAAAACCTCTGATATTGCACGAATACATTTTGAGAACAAAGACATCAATTTAGACATTTTAACGAATGTTGAAATTCGTTTTCCTATTTGATAGAAACAAAAAATGGAACCAGCAAATTAGACCTAGTATCTACAGCAAACCCTAAATCCTTAAAAAGAAAAGGAAACTAAAATATATCAAACCGTTTCACCAACATGGTTCCAAAACACTGAGGGCTTTTTCACGGTGGACTAACGACTTTGATACCTACCTTTCCACTTCCTTGATAGGTAAATTTCCTTGCTGTATCACAAAATCGTACGTCTCATGTCAAATGTTTAAACAGGTTCAACAAAAAAAGAACACTGCATATGAGTATAAATAGTAACCGCTTCAACTGCAATAATATTCGTATGAAATTGTTAATTTATGTAGGTTTGCTGGTAGCTGCAACAGAAATTTAAAAAATTATTCCTCGTGGTCTCTTGAAATCATCTGCAAATAGTTAACTAGGTATATAAGAAAATTCTCTTTTATTCAATAGCATACGATACCGTCAAGCAACTGCATCATCTCCATTCTCCATGTCTCATTTCATTGCTCCGTTTTGGTTTCTTTAGCATCAGAACCTGTGAAATTAAATTTGTTATCACTACTGGCCAAAATTTGAATAGAAGATCAGGAAAATCAACCTTAGCGTGCATTTTGTTTTGAAATTAAATAAGAGAGTATAAAATCCGAGATAAAATCAGTTCCATAATATATGTCAATATATTATTTCGTGGTCTATTCTTATAATACATAAGTGAATTTTTGCCGGAAAAATAGGCTTTTAAAAAATGTTTGCAGATTTTTAATAAGTAGGCACTTGAAACTGTATGCTTTATTATTATTCTAATAGTATTAAATGCTGCGTGTATTTAACAGTTCAATCCAAGCAAAAATCTATCAATCAATCAATGCTAATTTCGAAAGTAATATTTATACGAATATTGAATCATGTAGAATATAGAAGCTCAAAATGATGTATTGTCAATGCATAAATTTTTTATACGCAATGATTAAGGTCCTTCTGTGGTGGCGCTGTGGGGTAACGAAAGGGAAGATCTGATCAATGTGAAACCAAAAATATTTGAATTATATATAAAAATATAACAGGCTTTTAATCTCTGCAAGTCACAAATTTAATGATTACTCGGCTATAAAAACTGCATCTACGTAGAGTAGCAAAAATAACTGGCTAGATTAGTTCTGTCATTCTAGAAAAAATGAACAGTAGCGCATTTTCCATGAATTGATCAGTACTTCCCGAAAGGTCATGTAACGGACTATTTGTGTACAAAGGCATATAAGTTCCTATAAATAAGAATGCGCACACCTGCTGTTTAAAGTATGCGATTTTTGCCTTTACTAAAAAAATCTTTTGATAACATTTCAAAAAATATCTCTATAAATAAGAAAGGTGACATTGTGCAGCTTGCGCATAGCTATAAGCGGTAAAATAAAAAATAAAATAAATTGTAGGAGTAGTTAAAGCCTCGGGACGGACGGATATAATGATCATAATAGCGCCAACATGATTGGAAAATGCGCTAAAATTAATTTTTTTCAGCTGCGGCCTCTTAAAGATGAGCAATTTTCCAAAAACTTGCGATTTCTATAAGAACATTTTTTCCATATGACCCACCATTTTCGAGATACAGCCGAAAAACCGCAAAACTGTACCTGCAACCGCCTACCCTTCCTCCGGAGGCACCAAAATCGCTTGGGACTATTACGCAATCATCAGGGGATCTTCAACCACACATTTCTGAAAAAATTGGAACTACACAAATTATTTTTTCTATTTGCCGTGTTTTTTCTTGCATAGTCGTAAACGATAACTAATTCATAACAATTTCATGCACTTTTTTAGACACTTAGCAATATGATAATACCCTACCAATGTGTAATATAAACAAATCTTACTGCATGTTTGCGATGAACGGGTATCATTTAAATCTTGCAGTATTCCGTTTTGGGGATTTCTTTAGATAACCGGCCTTCTCTTTCATTGTTGGTAAGTCTGCGCCATCTTTGAAGAGTGATCTGGACCGAACCTAAAAGTGGAACAGAACCGTTATTTTTAATTAGCGCTATTCTATGACTATGAAATGTTCAGAAAGTCCTTAGGCAAGTGCCCCCTACAAGCCATTAGACACAAGTTACTGTTGTCGTTGTCAATAGAATCATATAGAAGTCAGTGGAATTTTCCTGATGCATACACGAAACTTGTATACCCTCTAAATACTTTAGTGTTGATTCGAGGCTTAGATTATATATACCTCACATTTACTTTCAATAAGGAGCATCTGTGCCAACATACCTTAACCTTTTCGCTGCTAAATTAAAAATTCGAGTGTAAACAGCCTGTGCTGAATTAAAATTGTACCAAACGTATATTTACGTACGTCGCACTGAGAGAAATCGTCGCGCGTATATATACGTCATCAGCAGAATGATTTGCAGCACCCAGCACGTGCATATACGTGCACAGCAAGGTTGGGAAGTAAAGCTCAATGTATTTTATCGGAGGGGCATCAAAATTTGTTTATTTATTTCTGTTTTGATTTTTTTATTTTTTATTTAATTTTTTTATATTTTTTTTATATAAAAACAAAAAAATAAAAAAAAATAAAAAATAAACCGCAGCCTCCTACTTCGTCAATCGAACGTATTCATCCGCCATCTACTGACTGACTTATGGATAAAACAATTTATCAAACGTCTGAATAAATAACTACTACAACAAAATAAATGCGCACACGTGTTACCTGAAACCGTTTTTAGCGTAATGGACAAAACTAAATTGAGTCGTGTTGGTACTCGTTGGAAAGCTCACGAAATGGGCTTTCCGATGGTGTGCAAATGATTGCAGCACGTTAATATACGGAGGTAGCACAGAATTTTAAACAGGTACAACGTATATATACGTACGTCGCACACAGATTCCGCATTTTTAGAACGTATATATATACGTGCGCAGCAGTGAAAAGGTTAAACCCTGTACCTAACAAAGACATAGATATATTTTGAACCGTAGTAGAACACCACTCATGCGCAGTAGCATCCGAATGTAAACAGCTGATAAGTGATAACCATAGGCGTTGCAAAATTGGGTCACTTCATATTAAGTTACGAAGCACATATTTTCATATTTTGTAACTTATGCATAGAATGAAATTGCACTTTCTGTACTACTACGTTTACCACAAGTTAAATGCACCATTTTAATTATTACTTTCGTAACAACTACTTGCATTTTCTACTATAATAACATCGTAAACCCCTTTATGTTCTACGGAAATACACACCAATGAAATGTCGGTAATGTCAATTTGACAGACAACTCAATGCGCATGCTCGGTATTCTACTGTATAGCTATCTCTCTCACACATGTTGGCACTGATTTAATTGCTGAGCGCTATATCTAGGGAATATATCTAAGATTCGAGGTAAGTTTCATTTGAAACTAGATAGACTGGACTGGATTGACCAGGTAGCATGTCTCCACAAGGGGTTTTTCTAAGAATCTTCGGACGCTTTGAACAAAGAACGGTAAGCCTAAAAGCCAATTTATAAACTTAAACAGTCGCGTCTGCGTTTCTTGTTCGCGTCGGCCGTTGCAGTTCGGACTTTCGGGGTACGCGCTGAATTTTGTATTTATAAATTTTCCAACGTTGAACATCGAGCTTATTTCGGTTAGTAACATACCTACCCTACAGTTTATCCATGCAAGTGACAAGAAGTAAGTAAATAAGTTAGCGTGAGGTGCTTTCAAAAATTGTGAACATTCATATTACTGTATAAACAATGTCGGCTTGGACGTCGAGGATATACCTATGTGTATTAAGACGTATGGTAAAAACTGACAACTGTAGCAAAATAGTAAAGATTTTTTTCACTAGTATCAGTTTAGTTAATTTTATTCCACACTTTAAATCTTTAGAGAAAGTTATCGTGTCTATCTTTGGATAGGTACGTTAAATGCGCTGTATGCAATTATTAATGTATGCAAACTAAGCATAAGCCCACATTTTTGAGTGATTATAGTAGACCAGTTGTGTAAAATACCCTAGAAAATACCATTATAAAAAAAAGCTTCAATTGATGCTTTGATTAAATGCTTTTAAATTATCTGTTTAATGTAGAAGTTTATCAAATGTTAAAAATAAGATGATTATACAGACGGTGTGTAACTACAATTAATAAACACTATTTTTGATGATATTGTTTTCATTTTGAATAACATTTAAAATTTATAACAAATCGAAATTAAATTGAACATCATCAGTCATCATCGAAAAAGGGCAGACTGCTATGACTCGAGCAAGGTAAGCATTTTCAAAATAAACAAAATAGACTCATTGATAAGAAGATAAAGTGAAAGACGACTCAATTCGGTGATTCACCCCACCGAAATTATGACACACAACAGGCACTGTCTTGTTGAATTGAGGAACCTTGTTGAATTCACATAATTCCTATTTCGTGTGAGTTTGATCTACTCTATGATCATATGTAGGTAATTTGTTTGTCACCTACAAATAACAATAGAGTTTTTGCTCATGAATACGGTTTCATTATTTATTATTGTTATCTCTATCACTAATATGTATGAATTTTTGTCCATAGGTAACCTACGTGAGGAAAGAAAGATAATGAAGTTCGTTTTTGACGGTGCCATTGTTTACTGGGAATGGACGGTAAAAGGTAAGAGAGAGTTCGTTGCTGAACTTATTTTTCAATAAATTAAAAACACAAGTAGTTGCAGGTTGTGCTCTGTTTTCATTATTTTATCTTAATTTTGACTACAATTACATACATTTTTATTTGGATTAAAATTTGTTCTTTTCATATATCACCTTTCCACCATATTTGCCTTAATGATCCAAAATAAGGCTCACTCACTGGCGTGATTGAAAGCCGTTGCCCCATCAATGATCTTGCCCACTATTGAAACGGCTAATTGATAGAATTATGGCATTGCCTAATTTATTTTGGTCAGAAAAACTATGGGTTATGTGTAGAGTAGTAACAGGTGGTCGCTAAAGGCTACAAAAATTTTTGTAATTAAATTTACAAATTTGCTGGTATGGGAAATTTTATACTTGTACCGCTTCATAATGAAAGAGAACAGAATTAATATTCGAGAAAATAAAGCGAGTGTTCAATCAGATAAAAGTCGTAACGCTACAGTGTTACCGGCTCTAAAAACCGTCGCTGGGGAGCATGAGATGAGCACTCTGCGTTATATATGCGCGGCCGTTTCGGTTTTTCAGATGGACGAATAGACTATAAAAAATTTGGTGGGAGAGCGGCATTGTTCAACAAGCGATTGAGGTGAATCTATGTAATTCAAGCACAGTATTTTTACATCGCGTAACATTTGTACATATTACATTGAAAGTCAAGAAGAGTGAATGTCGTCAAAGGATACGAAAAAACCATTAGCCGCGATACCATACGCTATATTTTAGTGCGAAAGTTACTAAATTACTATAGAAACTATGCCGCCATTTCGACGAATTTATTGACGTGACCTTCTAAATTTGTTACGAGGGGCCAATATAAGCAAACTAAGTATGGATACGTGGTTGGTTTATGCAGAAAGAGAATTTCATTGCAGATGAGGGGATCGGATGACGGATTTAACTTATTTAAATTTATTCAAATATAGTGCGAAGTGTCTTCCATTAACGGAGTAACGTTTCGGCGTAATTACATAAAAGTCAGGAAAATGGCATATTACTGGCGAGGAAATATACTAATTAATTTCCAAGTCAAGTAGTAGTGTCTTATTACTGACGAGTTTTGTATTAAATTTTACCTCAAATCGTATTTTATAAAATGTGAGTTTTCATATAGAACTTTTGATAAATGTCAATCTGCCAATGATGACAGAAGTCACTACAGACATTTACCAATGTGACAGGTAGTGCCTGAAAAGTGACACGTGCGTGCGGTAAAGTGACAGGTGCGGTCAGTAATGTGACAGGCGGCAGGAAAAGTAGTCTGCTCTGCCTCTGCCATGGAAACTAAAATTTCCTGACATAAGGTAGGCATAAAAATGAAGGTTTCATGACGATTTTGGGTAAAAATAAATTATAACGAGGAAAGCGCTGGTGTTAAATTACAGAACGTTACATTGCGCTATATATTTGGAATCCCTAGACGCTAGTTACATTAAAAAACCGGTTTATTAAATAAGTTATAAATAAAACGGCAACCGGTAAAAAAGTTAAAGACAATTAATTCCGGTTTTTGTTTGCTGGTGACCCTAAGTTATATGGGTAGATTTGACATATCCATGCTGCGAAATATTGGTAACTTATTACCGTGAATAAACCAAATTTCAACTAATCGTAAAAAACTTGAAGCACAGTTTATTCCTAAATCAAATTGCGTCAATCATCTTCGAAATTAATTTTGAACAAATAACCAAATTTCGCCTACTTGTACAAAAGGTCCGATTATATGACACAAGACGTTCCACCATCCATTTTTTTGAATTTGCTGCTACCTTTCACCAGGAAAAAACCTCGCCGCATCGATAATGTATGTTATTTGAATTTTTTGCGTTGTGTAAAAACAGGAATCGACCGTTTTTGGGGATTTTGTATAATAAATTTTTAGAAGTCAGTTTAACATTCTTGGAGAAACCGACCCACAGGAATTTCCGTGAGCAAATTGTGTATTTATATGAATAGGTATAATTACCGCAGGAGTGAACAGTGTATGGTAGGTGAGTATGAGTGAAAAAAAACCCAGAAGGAAACTGAGTATTGGATTTCCCTGTGGCATATGATATGGATGATATGGATCTTCTTCTTCCGTAACTGACAGTCGATGGGTGATACCCAGTTAATCAGTTAATCGCGAGTAGGAACCGTAAGGAAGTGATGCAGCTGAGTAGCTGCTTTACTAGGTTGCCTTAATATTTTAAAATTTGTCTCTCTAGTTTTTAAAACTATCGAAGCAATCCAAATAATAGAAAGTATTTAACCTCAAATTTTGCATTAGATTTTGGTTTTAACTTTTCCTTATATTACATGGTTTAGAAGATACGGCACACATTTGTGATTTTTTAAATATACTGATTTAGAGTGATATTTATTAAGTAACAGTGCTAGCATAGTATAATAATAGTGATATTATGGTGCTAGTGAATTCAATCATATATCAATTAACAGATGAATGACTTCAAGAACATTGCTTTGGTAATGGTGGTTTTATACGCACCACCGTATATAAAAACGCATAACAACCACGAGAACTACAGAATTAGTGCCAAAAAACAGGGTTTCTAAACCACACATAAAGTTCGAAATTGCACATCCCCCGCTATCAAAATACAATACAAACCCTTATTAATGCAGAGTGGCATTTATGTTTAAATGACATTTTATTCATTCCCCCATCAACATCAAAAAACAAAAATGGATGAAAATAATTGATAATTATCCGACACATTCATATCCAACTTCTACATATTTTTTAGCTAAGTTGAATAAAAGGTTTATTTAAAAATATAACTTTTAAATAAATTTCGTATTTCTTCAATGCCTAATTTAAATGCCAAGGTATATAGTTTAATCTTTAATAGAAACCATTGACTAATACTTGGGGGGGTATTAGTCAATGTAGAAACTAAGTTGTAAGCAATCCGTGACTTAAAATGCAATGTCGCATCCTTTGATAATCAATAGCTCATACCTAATAAAGGATTAGAAATTGCAAGCTAAGACATTTTGGCCTCAACATCACGTACGGGAATTTTTATGCGACTTGTTGGAATTAAAGTATATAAATAATATTACGAAGTTCTTTTGTTAAAACGGTACAAAAAACACAATAATTTATATATAATAAAAGTAAAATAAAACAGTTCTAAATAGTTTGGAGATATAGTGAAATGGTTCAAAAGAATTGCTGAAAAGTCGCCGTGCAGTTTCATCAATTTACTTACCTATAACTTTATGGTGGTGTAATGCAACAATGTAGACCCAGTACGATTAGTACTAAGCACAGTATGTAATACTAACATACCTTGTCATACTGCCCCCCTCACTGAGAAAAATGCCGTTTTTCCCTTCTGTGCGACTATGTGACATATACGTTGCCAAGCGATTTCGACATAAACAAACATATATAAAATTAATTATGTACGTTCTCACATAGAATTTCCACCAATACTCCCGACTTTTCCTTTTCTTACTTTAATTGTACAAATTGTTTGAAAAATATCTAAGGGACAATTTATCGTCTACTGTCACATGTTATTGATTATGTATACGATACCTAGCTCTTTCCAATTGGTACTTGTGTAACGATTTTCATATAGAAATTTATAAGTCGAAATAATATCCAGTTTGATTAATGAGGCGACGAAAATGGATGATGTTGCGGTGTTGCCATTTTTTGCAAATTTCTCGCCATTTAATCATTTGTGTGAAAGGTATCATGCTTTATGGTTTTAAATCTTCTTTCGCAAATGACGTTCCATTTAGATTTAGCATTTGCCGTTTTCGGCAATTTTGAATTGTGATATATGTTTCCTTCTTTCATTCATCGATTTCGACTACAGAGAGAAAAATTCTTTCTGCATTTACTAATTTACCCATTTTCACTTAAACATGTTAAAGAATAAAATAATTGCGCTATATAATTCACCACGTTCGTCATTAGATTCGATGAGGCTTGTTGCGCTCTTCATTTAAAGAAATCTGAATGGTATGAAATGCGCATCTCGCATCCAACTACATACAGGGTGTCCTAAAAGTCACGGGACGGAGTTATAAGTTTAAAAGTGGGCGAAGACAAAATTGGAAAACTTGAGAATTGACGCGGTTATTTTAAAATTTTTTAAAATATTAATTGCACCGGCTAGCTCAATCAAATGGGAAATCTGTAAACTTACACCATTGAGTAATTAAATCCTTCACTCAACGCTTACACTCTGCTTGCTATGGTTGCTATTGGTATCAAAACTAATTTTTATGTATATAGCTATAGCTACATCTTGCCACGGAAAATCTGATTGTATCCAAACTCCCTAATCTATTTGGCCGATAACGAAAGCTCAAAAAACAAAAGCATGAATATATTGAATCCAAAAATTATGTTTGATAAGTTCTTTTATTGACTTCACACACTCAGATACAATATAAGATAAAATACCCTGTTTTTACTGTCAAATATCTCAGAAACGGCACATAGGAACACTTTTTTCTTTTGACCATTAGAAAGTGAATAAGTGACGAAATTTTCACCAACATCTTGTTACTTTTACCTAGGCGCTCTAACTACTTTAATTGGGAAGAATTTCGTAAATACTCTAAAGCCCCAATAGTAAATAAGCTGATTTAAACAATCTTCACACTTCCCAGTTAAGTTTATTTAACTACACCAAACTATGAAACCTCGCTGAATTGAAAATCGACAAATAGTCGCAATACCTTAAGGGTTCCTTCTTTTAAAATTAAATGTAAAACATATGTACAAAAATCAGATGTCTACGGTACTTTCTCAATATTTACCTCCTAAAGTAGCGTTGACCTCATAGAAATGGGTTTACAGACAAGGTCCCCTGTCAGGTCAGGCTTGGTATGATTGTATGGAGTAGCATCAGTGACCATGGCCCTCAAAAAGACATCAAAAAGACGCTCGTCCCAGGTGGACATATGAATGTGATAGTTCCGCTGTTCTTCAGTCAAGGTACTTAGTCGTCGATGACTAATTTAATTATTTGGATATAGAGGTACAGGAACGCCGGCGCTTGTAACGTACACGTTAGGTTTTAGTGTAATAATGTAAGGAAATACATTACTGAGCGTATGTTACGCCTATGGATATAAATGTTAAAAATAATCAGCATTTGGTACGAGGATTTCATTTTTTGACACATTTTACGTTTGACCATTCCATATAATCTTGAACAAAACGGGATCGCCGCGCCGAAAGGAAAAATATGACGTTACTCGATACTGCATATTGCTTGTTAACCCAGTCGGGACGCCCTGCGCAATTTGGGGCCGATGCGGTCAATACCGCGAATTATATTAGAAACTGATGCCCGTCAAACAGTCTAGGAGGGTATGAAACGTGGACCAAAAGGAAGCCGGGCGTCAGTTTCTTCACCAGTTCGGATGCAAGATATTGTGTTTAAACCGCGATCCAAGAAGAGGGAAATTCAGGTCTCGCACGAAGGATGGGGTACTTTTGGGTTACTCTCAAGAATGTAAAGACTACCGCGTCTGAATCCCAGATGAGAGGAAGGTAGAGATTGCACATTGTCAAATATTTCGAGGAGACTTAGGCTATCAGCGACAAGAACGTCGACGTTACCGCAAACGATCTCATCGAGGTGGAATCATCCGACAACGATTTGTCTTCTCAATTCATAGAGGTGGAAATCGAGAAAGCCAGCGATCTCGAAGGTCATGTTGAAGAAGACGCAGCCGAAGCCAAATCACGGGTTAAGAATCTCCCGGGAAGATCAAGAATTGTCAAAACTGGATCGACAAGAAGACCTAAGAAAGAGTATAGGCTTTGAATACCTAATTTTATATTCAAAGGTATAGGCAAGTTCTTGAACCAATAGAAATACCAGATGCGGCTGAATGTCCAGACGAACCTGAGGAAGCCAACATCTTCGAGATTCCGATGAAGGAGATACTTAATACATGTGCTTACCTCAACGGTGAGTTGCAAAAGGAAATCTTGATGAACCCTCCGAGATACTTACAGGAAATTTTGGAAATTATCATACAGGACGAGCGAGGCGACATACGTGTAAATGCAAGAAAAATGTTACACTTGTTGAAGCAGGGAAACATGATATGGAGACTTCGTAAATCATTATAGGGATTTCGTCCAGGAAGAAGTTAGCACACAAAGCTTGGGGGGGTATTGTAAATTTCGGGGTCAACCCGACCAGGCAGATCCATGCCTGTACAACATAGGCTCAGGAGAGGAGCTTAAATCAACGAACTGGTGAATCGATTTGGAATGATCGAGGCAAATACCTTGATGCTGACTGGGGAAATTATCACATCGAAGTTATACTCCGAATATGTTTTCATGATGGGTCGCACCCCGGTCGCATGGGAATCTATAAAGCAAAGGACCGTGCTCTATCCTCGACTGAGGCGGAGTACATGGGAATTTCTGAGGCTGCCCGGGCTGCATCCTACTTTAAATAATTCATTCACCTAGGTGAAATTGTCGTACACCAAGACAACATAGAAGCCATCGTGAGTGTAGGGTGATGCTAAACGTATTACCAGCGGTTTGTTATTTTTGTTGATCCGATGCTCTAGCAGTTTTGTTTATGTTTAAGATATAATAATAAAACATCGCAAAGTAGTAAAAAATTTTTGTTATAGCAGATGTTAAAATGACATTTTAATAGGTTTGAATGAGTGGGCTAAGTCGCTCTTTAACCGTAAGGGTTGATAAAGTGATCACTTTTGACCGCTAGGATAGATCAAGTAAAACAGATGACTGTGTATTCTAATGACATCTGTCATTCTTACTTGAATTTGTATTATACACGACAATAAAGGGAACCTAACCATCTCGTGAAGTTAAATTCACTCGTGGCTGCGCCACTCGCGATTTAAAATCTTTCACTCAATGGTTAAAATATCCCTTTATCGTCTTATACAATAAATAACTAAAATTTGTTTAAAAATAGTCTAGCACCAAAGAGTTTTGTAGAATAGGTTACAATCCTGATTAGAGTTCTGTAAAGCCCTTAAATAGTTCGAATATGTTATTACAGAATCACTTTAATAGTAAAGAACTATTGATAACTAAATTAACTTCTCTTTGGCACAACTAACTATAAGCATTGAATAAAAACACTATAAGAAGCCTAACCCCGTGGAAATAAAGCGCGACAGAGATTGAACTGAGAATATAATGGGAACACTGTCAATAGTGTCGATTCTTGAACTGAGAAGAATGAGAATTTGCTTTCCTCCTATTTACCGCAAAGAGAGTTCGGCGGTCACAACCAATGCGGGTGCAAGGGGATTTGTCGCGCTTTCTTCCATAAGCGTTAGGCTTCTTATAGTGTTTTTATTCAAAGCTATAAGAGAGTACCTGAATTTACAAAGCATTATATATGCAACTTTTTGAAAAGGGTTCCGAATTACAATTGCAAATTGAGATTGAGAGATTGAAGTTCACATTGATAAAACAAAATTCAATTGCAATTTCATCTCAAAAAATGTTGCATTGCCTTAATTGTTGTTACGAATATGTGTAATATTGTGGTTCCCACGAGCCCCAATTACTTAATTCATAGGTTATAAGAGTAGATGAATTGAAAACTTATCACATCTTTGAAAGGAAAATAGTCTGCACAACAGTGTCAAGTTCACTAATGTCTAATAATGTCACGTCAAATCGGTAACATAATTTATAGTGACAAAAACAATAATTTCCAAATAACCTTCATAGAATCGATAAGTTAGCCCGTTTTCAATAAATTGTTCTACCACGAGTTACACTAAGCAACGTATGTTAAAAGTGGGAAAAGTAAAGCTCAGACGTGCAGTTGGGTAGTTGATATATATAATATAAGTACCTACATACAGGCATAATTATTATATATGTCTGTTTATATCGATATATCTTGGCAACCTGTAGGGGTACGCCACATATCCCTTTAGGAACGAAAATAAGAATTTTCTGTCAGTACGGAGACATTATGCCTTCGTTAATTTACACACTGTCTTTAGTACTTATTTTATTAAGTTTTTCATTGAAATGTGTTCAAGGTCAAGTTCATACTATCAATGTCTGTAAGTAGATCTTTGATTGAAAAATGCACAAGCACTTAAATCTCAATCTTTACCTACTTTTGTCTGTAGCAAAACTGACTTTGAACGTCACGTGTTACCACATCAGATTTAGGAAATTATGCACTTAGGAATCTCCTTCGATATTTTATTTTTATTTATTTTTTTAATTGGTTGCCAATGCTTGCTTGATATGTTCATCAGATCACATCAGAGACTGTATTTGCCAATAACTCTTCGAATTTGGCTCCGCTAAAAGTTTTAGTAGTTTAGACAGGGTGTCACGAAATTCGCGCCCACGGACAATTTAAAGACAAAACTGAATAGAAAACCCTATTACACTTTTACGATCAGACAAACAGTTTTCAAGATACTATACCTAATAAAACGAAATTGTGGCACGAATAAATTTATAATAGCTGTTCAAAATGTCCACCCTTTACTGCTAAACATGCTTCTGCATGTGTTTGGACAATGGTCATGTTGAATAGCATTATTTATCATTTCGGGTGTTATTTCATGTATTGCTTGGATTTTCTATTACTATATAATGCACATAATCTGGGCTGATGGGTACCTACACGTGCAATACGTGCGGAATCAGCAACGTATAGGTAGGTACCTATTATGTTTAAATTTATTCATGCTACGAGTACAATAATTTCGTTTTATTAGTAGTTATTAATTATAGTATATTAAGTATGGAGAACGGTAAGGGATTTTTACCGTTCGAAGACAATTGTTTGGAGGAGGAGCGAAGCGACGACTCCAATTATTGTCTGAGAACGGTAACCCTTAACGTTCGACGTGCTTATAACATTTTTTGCGCGATCGAAATTAAATTTATGCAACCAATATAAATATGCACTAAGAAATTCACGAGCAGAATAAATCGAAATGATCGAAGTGGTATGGTGTATATCACTAGGTAACCAGTTTATTTGTCAAAATTGAAGTTAATAATTTCATAAAAATGTGCATGTGTCTGATGTAGTTTACTAGCTTTGCACTTCCTTTATGACTTTATGAGCGTCTTGCCATAGGAAACAACAGCACAAATTGTACGTTTAAAGTACCTAACAATAATTAAAGATTAAATGTAATGTAAGACTGTTGATTTTTAAAAAGGCGTCGGTAAGTATTTTTGCTGTTCTGTTTTTAGATCGGTAAGTAATTTTGACGTTGTCGTAATCATAGCAACTGGTAAATTCTACCTACTGTCATGGAAACACCCATGGTAAATAGTAAATAGCATCTCTCAGAACCGTCTGAGGATAGCTGAAGTTTTCGTTAGAATTTTGTTTAGGCAGGATGCAGAGGACATGCATTCTGTAGAGCTGTAAAAACTCTTCCATGCTTCTCTCTGGCGCCTCCTAATATCCTTATTATACAGGGTGCTGGGTGATAGAGGGGGTCAAGACAAGCACTTTTTCCAAATAAACCGAGAGTCCAACGTGTTTCGTTTGGGAGTCACCCCCAAAGGAGTAGTGAAATTTGGATTTCATCTTTTATTTTTGTCCCAGTAACCTGTAGTGGAATAAGAATATTAAATGATTGATTTGTGCATGACGTTAACAATTAATTGACTGATTAAGTAAAGCGTTGCGTGCAGTCAGTATTAATCCGAATGCAGTGGATATAGGTAGGTGTTAAGTTGTAAATAAAGTTTTTAAGTCATCTTCAAGGGTGGTGCTTTTCCCTAAATGTCCTCTCCACCAGGGAGAACATTACATGGCGATCCTGCCTAAAAGTATAAAATATGTGATACGAATGTAGGACTAGCAAAATATACCCCACAATGTGCAATTTACGTAGTGTTCAAAGAAACCGGGAACAAATTATCGTTGAAGCGGCCGGGTCAGGAAACAACAAATTGGCGTAATAGTCAACATCGTCCTGCTGGTGGCAAAAGAAGTTTAAAAAATCGCATCCGAAGGGCAGTACGTCGACAAAAATTGTGCTTTTTTTTGAATTTTCAAAAACTGATTCCAAATTCGTAATTTTCATGTTCAAAAATCCCGAGATACCAAATTTCGTCGAAATCAGAATTTTTCGCACACCCAAGTAGGGGTGCGCCCTTTCGTGGTAGGAATTTTGAAAAATGTTTTTCAAAGTCGGATAGGACATACCCCAAAACCTATCAAAGACGTGTCCCCATCTTTGTAACTCTTATGGTTGCTGAGAAAAAAATTAAAGAAGAAATCCAAATTTTACCACTTCTTTGGGGGTGGCTCCCAAACGAAACACGTTGGACTCTCGGTTTATTTGAAAAAAGTGTTTATCTCCTCTATCGCCCAATTTTTTTTACATACGATCATGTTTAGCCTTAGGTTTACCGTAGACGCCTCCCAATCTGCTGAAGGGTCGGATTTACGAACAAGCACGTGCTTGTGAGGCGCCAACCCAAGGGAGTCCAGTTAAATCATCTCATAGAAAAGGTTATAGATAAAATAGTTTAGAAGATCTACTTTGTCCCGTATGTCGGCAGTACCCGGCGTCTCCCGAAATGGTGCTCTCTAAATTTTGTTGCAAAGAGGAATATCCGTTAACATGGGGTTCCGATAACTGTTTGAACGCCACCCTTGCAGTTTCTTTATGCTCACTTATATATGCTTCTTCGACATTTAAAAATGTTCACACAAATCCTAGAGAAAACATAAAGCTATCTATCACCCGTATAATTTTATTAGAATAAACCGATACAACGAAATATCGAAGGATCCTCAGTATTACAATCACTTTTAACGACAATTTATTTTGATCATACCGAATACATTTTATAGTTAACAAAAATGCATCAAATTCATGTCTTGCTCATTGAGATATGCTCTTAATCTTTTTCCCAACGATCTTGGTGCATAAATAACGATTTTGATCAAAATCGATGTGGCCTCAGAAAAATAATTTAACACCTGCGAATCACGCACATGCGGTTATCAAATGTGCACGTGATGTACTCTTTCAGCATCAAGATAATGCGTTTGAAAGCTTTTACAACTCCAAATGTATGTCTAAAGAATAATTTTGGGTACATTTTGCTCTAAAACTTTTGACCTATACCACAGAGAAGAGAGAGCTATATTGAATTGTTATACACATCTAAGCGTCATAGGGAATAATGTAGCGAAAGTCCGAACTCGATACATGACCTAGGAAATGAAATATTTTGATTTCTATTATATTGAGCCAGCAGCTTTTCCTGTTCCCGATTCACTCGAAGTCCTATAACTTTTGTTGTACCAGCTTCCTGAGCGTCCGTCCTTAATGCCCAAAGTACCCGTACACCAAATTTCAACACAATCGGCCACTTTTAAAAAGAGTTAGAGCGCACACGGACGGACGGACAGACGACAATACAGAACTGTAAAGGATCTGAGGATCCTCAATAAAATTATTCATCGTTGATTGTTATAACTTGTAATAAAAGTACTTTCAATATCTATTGTTGCAGTACATGTCTATGACGACGACAACCTAGTGGCTGAAAGTTCAGTAAACGTCGCTGCATCATACGTCAACAAAAAGGGAGATCTAAAAATGAAGGTTAATGTCCAAACTGCTACTGCGTATCCAAATAGTGCAAATGCAACACAACAATCTCGTAAGTACAACCATAGAGGAAATTGTATTTCGGATAACTTGCTTCGTGTGAATTACTAAAATGTGCTATTATTACTATTAGCATTGAATTATAGTTATAAATTCAATGCTATTAGTAGGTAGGTATCTGAGAAATTTCTCAACTACTTCCCTCTTCGTAGCATGTTATTTACCTATACAAGGTGATTTACGAGAACCATTTGTTAGACACTTCAATATTTGCATATTAAGTTGTGCCATAGATAAAGGTTCTTTCTTGGCCCAGAAACGTTCGTAAGCGTCTGGAAGAGAACCATATATATAAGAGAAGTATATATGGATGGAGTAACATAAGCTCACATTTCGACGAAATTATGTGAACTTTGTATTAAGATTGTGGAAAATTTAGGACTTTTCCCGCAATTTTTTTGTTGAAGACGTTTAATTAAGATGCGCTCTAGCCATTTTTATCAATTTCATGATCATACCTGGGCGACTTAATAACGTCACGTAACCGTTACCTAGATTCGCTAAATTCTCTAAAACACTATTCAGTGGTTACATTTACATGTTTGCGTATTTGATTTCATTGTTTAAAACTATAAAATAAACTTGAAATACGTGAATGTACCACTAATTAAATCAATCGGAACAAATTACAAGAAAGAAAATCGTGTTAACACTTTTTTGTAAAGAGTAAAAAATAATTTGGTTGGAGTATAAAATGAGGGAAGGCGATTTCGAGGGGCCCATAGGCGCAAAATATGTAAATCCGGCCCTGCACGCACAACATTCATGTTTCCGTAACCATATTTATGATGAGTTAAGAAAATTCATAAGAATTTTGGGAAATCACGTGTAGAAAAGTGTTTGCTTTAGCAGCATTTTCAAAATCAAGGAAGAAAAATTTGTTCTGAGGAATTGGCAACTTTACCTCGAAGATGACATTTTTAAAAAGTTTTTGGAAAAAATTGAACAATTTGAGCTGACAGTTTATGAATTTCAATCATTCGAACAGCATTAAGGTCGATTCTCACTTGCGCTGCATTCAGCTCGGCGACGTGACGCGATGCCGCGCTTTAAAAATGTCGTAACTCTACATAGTATACATTCTCACTATGACAGCATCGCTGTTTTTTACAACAAATTCACAGTTTTTATAGCGCTTTTGTGTGAAAATGTCCAGTTCATCGAGCGATCATGAAGCATTTGTGATGCTACGTGAGTGTGCAAAAAACAAAAAAGAGAGCCCACAGAAGATAAAGTTCTATGTATTCAGTAAAGCTAGGGTTTCCTCAATGCAATTGTGCGCAAACGAAACGCAAACGAGTAGAAGACCTATGTATGTTCTGGACCAGGAAGTGACGTCACACCAATCAGAGACGAGCACGTGACGTCACAGCCAATCAGAGACGAGCACGCCCCCCTATGCCCCTCCCCTTGGCCAATGGGATACGGTAGGCGGAGCCTTTAGGGGTCGCCCCCTGTGTCGTCACAGCCAATGAGCGGTGTGGTCGGCCATTTTGGATCGAGCGCCATTTTATTAGTCACCAAATCCGCCATCTTGGATTGGTCGCCATTTTATTAGTTTCTAATTCCGCCATCTTGGATTGGTCGCCATTTTATTAGTTTCTAATTCCGCCATCTTGGATCGGTCGCCATTTTATTAGTTTTCAATTCCGCCATCTTGTTGGGCGCCATTTTATTAGTTTCTAATTCCGCCATCTTGGATCGGTCACCATTTTATTAGTCTCTAATCCCGCCATTTTGTTGGGCGCCATTTTATTAGTTACTAAATCCTCCATCTTGGATCGGCCGCCATTTTATTAGTCTCTAATCCCGCCATATTGTTGGGCGCCATTTTTGACCGTCTGTCTGTCTGCCTCTCTCGCTCCATCCGCCATCTTGGATGTTATTTTGGACTCGCGTCATCGGTCACGTGATTGCTATAGACAAAAATTTTTGTTATCTGCGTTGGGAATCGAACCCACGATACCTGAAATAGAAAGCTAGCGCGTAACCAAATGAGCCACGCAGACTTTGAGAGATTCTATAGTTAGAGGTTGAAGTCAATGAAAAAACAGGTGCCGTGACATGGCCCCAACTTATAATTCTCCGAGACATGTAAGGGGGGCCCTATTACCAATGTCATGCTCCATTCTAACCTGTAAATACATTTCGTGGCCCCCAGGCCTATAATGAGGCGATGGTTGCTCGCTCTCGGGGTGAGTCGTAAGGATGAATGGTAGGAAACTGTAACGCATTTATTCACATTTCAACCTTATTGCAGGTAGGTAATCATAAGGATGAAGGGCAGGAAACTGTAACGCATTTATTCATATTTAAACTTTACTACATGCCTTATGGGTAGGTAATTTTTATGTAACTACAATTTGTACATTAGTCGTTACACCTGCAGCTCCCATACTAGTTATAAATATAACTTTATTTGCTAGGGTTGTTTGGAAGCACTCTAGTCGATTTTCTGCTTCGAAGTATGTATGGTAACGTTGGGGCAGTATGCACTTGAAGGTTTCGGTTTCAACCACAATTCGATCTCCAAACTTGGTACCAATCACGCCGATATCAACAATTCGGTATTTTTCACCAATTTCCATATCCTTTACATTTTTGAATGGCTTACAATAGGTCGACGAGTTCAGGGAAGCGAAATCAAATTCTTCCATTATTATTGTATATCTATAAGAAAAACAAAAGTGTAGAAATCAATTACGTAGTCGATACTTTTAGTCATAGAAATTTAAGATAAAATCTTACTTGCCGATTACCGATTCGGTCCGAAACACTGATCGCGGCATATGTCAACAGCACTCAATTTTTATTATAAATTTATGCTAACACTGCGGGAAGCAATTTCCCCTATCTTTTCGCAAAGTAAGCAAGTTTATTTTGTGTCAACTGCGCTAGATTTTTGTTACAAATTATGCTTATAATGCGAGAAACCAATTTCATGTGTCTTTTCGCAAAGCAAGCAAATTATTTGCCATACAATTTCCTGTCTCGTATCGCAAGGAAAGCTAATATGGTTTATGTGAAATTTTTAAAGGGGGGGGGGGCCTCATTACCTATACAAAAAACATTTATCTAATCTAACATGTCAATCTTTATGACCGCTAAGAATTAGTATGTGTTTGTTTATGCAACTTTAAATTAATTCTAGAACTCTTGTTCTGTCTGCCTAAGTACCGAAGATTCTCTCGTGGAAGATCAAGATGGTTGAATTTTAGGAAGAATTGTAAATATTTATTATCGCTAGTGAGATCCTTGAAATGATGCTCCCAATCGTATGCGGGAGTGGATAGCAAAAAACAAAACAAAACAAAGAATTAGATATTTATTTATATCTGAAAGAATAACGAAACGTAACATTACTAGAGCATTTAGCTACTAACATAGATAATCCAAGAAGCACGATCTAATTCCAGATCCATAAAAACGACGAACCTGAGCCCCCTATATACTCTGCTTTCAATTAAAGTGGATCGGGGTATGGCTCCCAGCCCCAAAATTGTGGCCATAATATCCTATTTATAATTAAACTTATTATAATTATTATTATCATGGGCTGCTCATTTTGAACATTTCGAAAACTAGAATGTACGATTTTCAACTGTAACCGAAAACTTAGCGACGACCGGTTGAAATTGTTGTACATAGGTACCGATACTCTCCTGTATGAGATGACATCTGATGATGCATAATAGAAAATCATGCATTCTAGTTTTCGAAACTTCCGACATTGATCGCACCACCAAGACTAATTTGGAAACCAATATCCAGTCTTCTTTCGACACCAGGATGGTGACTGTGATGGATGTATGAGGCTTTAAAACATCAAGAAAGGGATTTTTACCGATGTAGGTATAACTTTTAAGCAGCACTTTAGGATTAATTTCCCTTAATTTAAATAAAGTCTATTCGGCCAGTTGCACAAAAAATAAAATAATCCAGGATTATTGTTTAATCCGGTATTAAGACATTTTGATTGACTTTATACTGTAGTATGCAGCCAATCAAATGTCAAAATTCTTGTTTAAACTCAGATTTGGAAATAATTTCCTGCAACCGGCCGATTGAGTGGTTTGAATAATGAAGATGTAGCCTGATTCATGCAAACTATTAATGTAGAAAAACACCATAACATCCCCGAATGTTATGAATTTAGACGCAACTTTTTCTGATAATAAATACTATTTTATCCCCATCTGTCTAAACTAAGGTAAAAGTTAGAACTTGTCTTGTGAGGCCGGCCGTTCGATTGTTGTAATTATGAAAGAGTTCACAGAGAAATCAAAACTAAGTTGCATTTCTGGTTTCAGAGACACCAAACCGATTAGCAAATGTGTAGATATTATATGGATTGATGCCTATTGCATACGATGACGTGATGCTTCTTGCCTGCATTACAGAAGCATATCATCGCTAAAGCACTTATTCTATTCTTAGGGACGAGTTCCAATTTATTATCATATCCAGGGTTGGAACAAAACAAAACGGAGCATATAATTCGGCTCATGCTTAAAAGTATCGACCGGTAAGTTGGCACATGAAGTTTTCGTAGGGTACGGTATAAAAATTGAGTTTGCTGATTGTGAAAATGGTAATAGGGGTATAAGAATAAGTCAAGGATTCAATTCCATAGTGCTAATCGAAGAAGTGGTAAATCATTTCCTCTCCGGTGTAGATTTTGTACATCAAAATTGGATTTTCTAAGCGATTATTCGACTTCCACTTTGTGGACGAAGTAGCGGATGATCTTTGTAGGGGCGGTCTGTTCGATAAACCAAACATTTTGTCAAGAGGAAAATTTTTCTGTCAAATTTTTAAGTTATTAAAAAAGTTGGTTGCACACTAATGTTTAAGATATTTTTCATTTTTAACAGAATTTGTAAATATTCACCCTCAAAGATTTGTAAAAGATGTAACCGATAAAATACTGAAGGAGAAACAATAAAATAGTTTAATGATAAATTTGTTGTTAATATATACATAGGGAAAAGA